TGGGAGGGGGCATGCATGAGTCCCGGCGTCTGTCTAGAGCTGTCCCAGTAAAGAGTTGGGGCACTGGTTGGTGTTTCCCGTGTCCAGGAACCTACCCACTCTCCTGGGCATCCTGACCCCTCCTCCAGAAGGGCCTGACCGGGCCTTCACCAGGAAGCCTTTTCAGCCAATGGTGTGTACCTGTCCTTGGCCACAAGATGTCACCCAAGGAACGGCAAAGCAGGGGCCTGGGAGGAAACCGGCCAGCCCAACAGCAACCCAGGAAACAGCAAGCCCCAGCCCTTCTCACATGGCCCCTACCCCGGGGAAGCCTCAGAACAGCCAGCAAAGACGGGCATGCTGCGGTGGGTTCAAATCCCAGACTTCCTGCAGGATGGGACACTGTTGTCCCAGAGAACACTGGTTTGTAGCTCCCACCCCAAATTAATAAATAGGTATGATAATCCCCACTACACAGAGTAGGATTAAATAGTGCCTGGGGAGCAAGGGTCAGGAGAGGGTGGTGCAAACGGACAACCGATCTTGGGTGTGAGTGGGCTGCCACTGGGCCTGGCGCTCAGCAGGGTACCGGACATCCTCCATCCCCATCCTGTGCTTGGTAAGGTGTGGGGGGCACACACCTGAGAGGCAACACTGGGGCATATCCTCTGCCCCTCAGGGCACCCCCAGGCTCCCTCTTCCTGGTGACTCCATCTCCCTGGTGGTTCAGCTCCACGTGGCCCAGCAGGGCCCATACCAATTCTTTACGTGGCAGCCACCTGGCACCTGGATCTGGAATAGGGAAGAAGTGGGAGGAAGGGCATGACCCCAGCCCTGGCGCCCCTGGGGCAGCCCCAAGTGAACCACCCCAGTGGTGGGCAGGCTGCAGCCTGGAACCCGGGGACCCCGTGCCCAGCCAGGGGTGCGCAGCAGGAGACATTGAGGGCCAGCCAAATGCCCTGGTGTCTCCAGACCTGAGGACCAGCTGCAGCTGGAGAACCCAGGGATCCTGGATCCCCGGCTTGAGCCCGCAGGGCCCGCAGACCTTGACCCTGGCCCGGAGGCTGAGCATACAGTCTAAGTTCCTTGCAGACGGGACTTGGTATGACCGTGCCCACACTTTGCTGGGTACAAGGCTCCTTATCAGTTCCTCCACCAGCTGGGGCTACAGAGGTGGAGGCCAAGGGCTTTGGGGCAACGTGCCTTCCCAGAGGATGTGAAGGTGGGGGAGGGAGAGCCCCTGTCTTACAGGGGCTGAATTTGGGAAGAAAAAATAGTGAAATCTCCCTGCCGAGGAGCTACTATGGTCTGTCCTCTCTTCCACCCCCATCTGCAGACATTTGGGGACACCTGCCATTTGGGGTGGGACAGTCCCTGGAGAGCATGGGTTCCGGGGCGATCAGTGCTTTGCAGAGAAGTGTACAGGGGATGAGGCCTCACTGGGGACAGAGGGAAGGATGGGGGCTTCTGGGGGGGGTCTGCCGTCCTCCCTTTGAAGCTGGATTGGTAGGGAGAGGCGTTGAAACCGGAGGGCTCAGTAAGGGCAGACAGAGGCTTACAGGCAGGCAAAGGATGACAGTTGGGGGCAGAGGTAAGCGTTTTGAGGCCCCAGTGGGAGCTGGAGAAGGACAGAAGCATAAGGCTGAAAAGTAGGTCGGAACCAAAATAGAAGAAAGAAGATTTTAGGCAGAAGAGGAATCTGATCAGACTTGATCAATTCTAAGGGCACCTAGGAGAAAGGGCGAGAGGGAGGCGGTTGTGAGAACAGAGCTGGGGAAAAGCGACCGTGGGGGTGGAGGCACACTCCGGAGAAGCCGCTCAGGAGGTCTGGGCGATACAGAGATGGGGGCAGCGAAGAAGAACCCCAGAGGCAGGACCGCAGGGCACGAACCGACTCAAGTATCCAAATCCGGAAGGTTTTAAGCTGCAGAAACTGTTCCACTATGGTTAGTATTCACGATCACAGCACAACAGATGTAGGTTCACAATGGAGCCTTTCAGTTAAAACTGGGTTCCCTTCGAGTGGTTTCTGTGCTCCTCGGCTGACCGTGCCTGGAATGTCTAGGGGCCTAGCCAGGGCTGGCCCCTTTCCGTGACCTCCACAGTGTCCTGCGCTTTAGCTCCAGCCCTCAGTTAGATGATAGCACAGGAGAACTATTTCAAGATTTTATATATATAATCGTAATATACATGTGACCAAACCAGAGACTGGAAGAGTCATTGAGGTAATAGAGCCCAATTCAGGAAGGGGTCACCTGCCTCAGGTCTGGTTAGAGGCAAAGCTAAGATGGGAACCGTCTTCAGGCTCCCGCACCAGGTACTACGACCAGACACCACTCAACACCGTGGCTTTTCGGGAGGTGGCAGGAGTCTTCCAGGGAGGGGGAAAAAACCCTCTTCGGGCTGGTGGGTGTGGTCCAGCCTTGCGTTGGGGGAGCTGCTGGAAGGAGGCCCTTATCGCCTTCCCTTTGTGTCGTCTGGCCCGTTCCTACCCACTTGCCTCCTTCCCCTTCCTCAGACTCACTCCCCACTCGCTCCCCCAGCACGGCCCCTGTCACTAGCGTGACCACAAAAGAGGGAACACGGGGTTGTTGGTGATCAAGAAGTGAGGTGAGCAGGAGGGAGGAAAATAAATCCAGGACTTGGAATCCACAAAGTGACGGAAGGGAACCAAAATAGGGGATGAGGGAAGCGAAGGTTCTCTCACTGTCAGCAGGGCCAGGCCCAGGCTGCTTTTTGGGAGAAGCCGAGTCAGAAGCCAGGGGCTGCTGGAACCAATGCTGTCATCTCACACGGGGACACCAGTTCCGAAGGGAAAACAAAACACAACAGAAATGGAAGAGACACATTGAAAGCGAAGAAAACAGGAAGATTAGATAAATACCTTTTCGTACTGAAACTTGAACACTGAGATCCTCTGGGGATGTTTAGCCATTTGAGGTTTGGGGAAGAGAGTTTTTACATAACCACACGGGTTATAAAGAAAACACTTGAGCTTAAGCAAATAAAAAGAGCCATCCTTAGAGGATAAATTGGACTGGCTGTCTGGCAAAAGTTCTCCTTTAAAAGAGCCTGCCTTCCTCACACCTGTTACCCTTGCAGGACTTGGAGCCAAGCCTTCAGGAATTGAACACCTTTTGCAGTGGATCCCAAATTTTAGCGAGCATCAGAGTCAGATGGGGAGCTTGCTAGGAATGCAGATTGCTGGGCCCTCCCCCAGAAATTCTGATTCAGGGGCTATGGGGTGCAATCACAAGCTTACGGACATCCCCAGGTGGGTGGTGCAGATGGGCCACTGGTTCATGCTTTGTGAAATGCTCTCTGGGCACTTCTCAAACTTCCCTGAGAATGTCACCTGGAAGACTTACTTTTGTTTTTATAGAAGATACTTTTAATTATTAAAAATTATAAAGACTGTATATGATTTGGAAATAAGACTACCACATGACGGCCAAATAAGAATCGTCCGGGGAGGGGCACCTGGGTGGCTCAGGTCATGATCCCAGGGTCCTGGGATCGAGCCCCGCATCGGGCTCCCTGCTCAGCGGAGAGCCTGC